GAGAGAGAGAGAGAGAGAGAGAGAGAGAGAGAGAGAGAGAGAGAGAGCAGATATGATCTGATCAGATTGGAAGTTCAAAGGTTTTTCGTTTTTCTTTTTGTCAAATGTCCTCGAAGGTCGAGCCTTGGGTGTCCCTAATGCTCTTGTCAGATGTGTTAGTGTCTGTCCTCTGTGTGCTTGGCCTATTGCTAAAAATCGGGTTCAGTGTCCTGTCCCTTACATGAGAGGGCTTGGCCTATTATCTCTGAAAATCGGGTTCAGTGTCCTGTCCCTTACATGAGGGCATGGCCTATTCCGTATGCATAAAACCCCTCCAGAGAACATAGAGAAGCTACGGCTAATCACGGCACCGGACTGTCCTTACTTGCCGGATGGTAGTTGCGTTGCGTCCTGGGAGTATATGTGATAACCAACCTCTCTCTTTTTTTTTTTTTTTTTTTGTTTTGGAAAGGGTGACAGTCTTGAGATATCATCTCGAAACTGACCGGCCCCAAGTAATTCAGGAATTTCGTTCATCTGGTTCCATCTGGATTCGAACTCAGGTCTGCATTTTTCAACAGTGTGTGGGCGTACCAACTGAGCTAATAAGCCCATTGGTGGCGTATGATAACCTCGTTCACGTGCAGATTGAAAATGGGCGCAGGGATTGATTGTGGGAGAGGCACTTTTATCAGTTCATGTGTGTACCAAATTATCAATTGAGCAAAAAAAAAAAAAAAAAAAAAAAAAAAAAAAAAAAAAAAAAAAAACGTTGCCAACTGAGCAAGGTCCGCTGTGGGCACTTTTATGAGTTCATGCGATGATCAATCGTTTTTTCAACGTAGTGTTTTTCAACGTTTTGTTGTTTTTTCAACGTTTCGTTGGTTTTTCAACGTTTTTCAACGTTTTTCAACGTTTTTCAGCTGTGGGGGGTAATTTTTGTTCTGAGATGTGTTGGTGTCTGTACGCTGTTTGCTTGGCCTATTCTGTCTGCAGTACCCCTGTGGAGGAGATACAGAAGCTGCGGCTGATCACCGCACTGAAAACTCCTTACTTGCCGGACGGTCGGTGCGATCTGGAAGCGTTCGATAACCTCGTGCACATGCAGATTGAAAATGGTGCGGAGGGATTGATTGTCGGGGGCACTACAGGAGAAGGTCAGCTCATGACATGGGATGAGCATGTGATGCTCATCGCGCACACTGTGAACTGTTTCGGGGACCGGATAAAAGTCGTTGGAAATACGGGTAGCAACTGCACGAGCGAGGCGCTGCGGGCGACGGAGCAAGGGTTCGCAGTGGGGATGCATGCCTCTCTCCAGATCAATCCATATTATGGGAAGACGTCTCTCGATGGCTTGAGGATGCATTTTAAGAGCATCATTCCCATGGGCCCGACTATCATCTACAACGTGCCCGGAAGGACATCGCAGGACGTCCCTCCAGTGGTCATCGAAGAACTTGCGCTTCTGCCGAACTTCGCCGGAGTGAAGGAGTGCACAGGTAATGCGCGGATTAAGCATTATACTGACAAGGGATTGACGATATGGAGTGGGAACGACGACGAGGCGCATGACGCTCGATGGGAGCATGGTGCTCGCGGCGTCATCAGCGTCTTGAGCAATCTTGTCCCTGGACTCGTCCGGTCGATGCTTTACGATGGACCGAACAGTGAACTTGCAGCTAAGCTCCTGCCGCTCGCGAAGTGGTTGTTTGTTGAACCGAATCCGATTGGCATCAACACTGCCCTTGCAATGCTTGGGCTTATTCGCCCGGTTTTCAGGTTGCCGTACACGCCACTCGGTCTTGAAAAGCGCGAAGAGTTTATGCGGATCGTCGAAGCCATCGGGATCGAACATTTCGTTGGCGTTAAGGATGTCCGCCTGTTGCAGGACGACGACTTCCTGGTTGTTGCACGCTACTGATCGCTGCGCTTGGAGGCAGCTTCCGCGTTGGTTGCTACTTGAGAGTGCAGTACGAGCTCATCCAGGCCTGCAGTCACTGAGACCTGTCTTCATCCTCCCTCCGTTTCCTTCGAGTTGGCAGGCATCAGCTCCTTGTGTGGAGTGCCTGCTCAATTTTGCAGACAGGAAGAAGAGACATGTGTCTGCATGCCCTCCAGGTTCTGCCTGTTCGACGCTGCATTGCGTTGCGGTTATTTTTCGCAAAAATACCCAGTCCCAGAGTCTCCCTTGTATGAAATTCCCCCATTTTTAGTTTTGTGCTATGCAGTTGCAATGCACATAGCACCATATCTGGTCTTAATGCAAGAGATGTGAGGATGCAGGCATGACTGCTCCCAAAGTTTTGATTATGTTCTGCTACTTGCCGCACACACCATTTTTGGGAAGGTGGTTAATTGGAGAGAGCTGGAAAGCAGGTGCTGCGAGAATGCACCAGCTCTTGGTTGCTCCTTTCTTCCAGTGAAAGTTGAAGGTTAACCTTTGTGTTAGGCTGTTTCTTCTTTCTGGCTGCTTACAGCCAATGCAAACTCCCCCCTGTGGACCCTGCCTTCCTCTCTCTCTCTCTCTCTCTCTCTCTCTCTCTCTCTCTCTCTCTCTCTCTCTCTCTCTCTCTCTCTCTTTCTCTCTCTCTCTGTGGCTTCTCTGCCTGTGTCT